CTCAAATAAATAAAATCTTTAAAAAAATAAAAAAATAAAAAAATAAAAGTCTTGAAGAGATATCTGCACACCCATGTTTATAGCAGCATAACTCGTAATAGCCAAGAGGTAGAAAGAACCCAGGTGTCCATCAACATTTTTTTCCAAGTGGTGAATGGATAAATAAAATGTGGAATATCCATACAAGGGAGAATTATTCAGTCTTGAAATTCTGGGGTGCCTGGGTGGCTCAGATGGTTAAGCGTCTGCCTTCGGCTTAGGTCCTGGGATCCTGGGATCGAGCCCCACATCAGGCTCCTGGCTCAGCGGGGAGCCTGCTTCTCCCTCTCCCTCTGCCTTTCTCCCTGCTCATGTTCTCTTTGTCTCTCTCTGTATCTCTGTCTCAAATGAATAAATAAAATCTTTAAAAAAAAAAAAAAAGACAAAAATGAAAAAATGTGATATTTTTGAAATAATTCAGAGTGGGGCATTGCCATCAACCAAGAGAACTTTGTGAAGAAAGTGGAATTTAAAGCATGTTAAAACAGCCCTGGGAATCTGTATAATTCCATTGCTGTGTTACACTAATATTAGACTAATAAAGAATTTTTCACAGGTTGGGAAAGATTATGACACTCTTTCTAAATATTCGCCAAAGGTGCCCCCAGCTCCTTCAGCCAGAGCGTATACTAGTCCTTTGATTGATATGTTTAATAACCCAGCAACAGTTGGACAGAATTCAGAAAGGATAAAGAATTCAACAGGTAAGATATTTATTTTGATTTCTTTTAAAATACCTTTTTAGGGGTGCCTTGGTCGTGCAGTCAGTTGGGCGTCTGACTCTTGGTTTTGGGTCGTGATCTTTGGCTTGGGTTGTGATCTCGGGGTGTTGGGATCGAGCCCAGCCTCAGTCTCTGGGCTCAGCGGGAAGTCGGCTTGAGATTCTCTTTCCCTCTGCCCCTCCCCCTGCTTGCATTCCCCCCCAGATAAATAAAGTCTATAAAAATAGCATCGTTAAAAAATAAATAAAATACCTTTTTAAATTTTTTTACTATTTTAGATAAATGTTACCCTGAGGTAGGGAAAATAAACATCTGTGGTAGCACACATTTATAATTGCCTTGTTGAAACCTTTTTTTTTTTTTTTTTTTAGATTTTATTTGAGAGAGAGCATGAGTAGGGAGGAGGGGCAGAGGGAGAGGGAGCCTGATGTGGGGCTCGATCCCAGGACCCCAGGATCATGACCTGAGCTAAAGGCAGAAGCTTAACCGACTGAGCCACCCAGGCGCCCCTGCCTTATTGAAACTTACACTTCAAAGTAAATTAAGGTCTGGGTTTATTATAAAAGCATAAGACATTTTATAAGTGACACATTTCTTTGACAAATTCTAATTCCATATACTGATTGATGTTTATACAAAGGAAACTTACTATTGAAAGGTGTTACATTTTAAAATGGGATATAATGTACAAAAATCCTCATATTGTGTACCATATTTGGTGGCAATTGTAATAAAATTTCTTTTTCAATAAAACAAACTATAAAAGTTCACATGACAAAATTATGGTGATTGATCTTAACAGTAGGCTTAGTGTTTTTCATCATCTCTAACAGAGAACTTCATGCCTTGTGGACACTTAAGTTCTGACTGCTTAAATTTCATAACTCTATTGATGCTTTTTCAATAAATCAGGACAAGTTACTGTTTGCAGAATTTTCAGGGGGCTTTGCTTAGGCTCCGCTCTGTGTAGACAGAGTCTTTGGCACCCAGAGACCCCTCTCTCTGTGTGGGGTGTCTCAGGCCCCTTGGGTATGAAAGTCATGGCCATTGAGTCATGTGCTAGAGAGAGCCCACAGACTATAGCATTTGCAGCTGTTGAGTGAGATCCAGAGATGAGAGTTTCAGAATGGCAGTTTTGTTTCTTTGGAGTGGTAAATATCAGCTGGTGCTGGAATTGAGACAGAAACGGACAGCTCCATGCTTCACATCACGCAGGGACTGTGGCGTCAGGCCACCCACATCCCATGCTGGCCTGCTAGCTGAGATCCCGGTGAATCACTGGACGATAACTGATAACCGCTCCTTCCCTCAGAAGCTGTGAAGCATTGAGAGTGTGGACTGGCACTTAGGGAGGGTTCAGTAAACGTGCTGGTCCTCAGCGCATCCTTACTGCATTCCCAGTCTCCTCTTATTCTTTGTGGTCCAGGTCGTGGGCAGTGGCGTTTGGGTTGATGCCCTACACTGCCTTGGGGTTCGTGTTGGGAGAGGAGGGCAAGGAAAGCATCCGGCCTTCCAGTGATGCGTCATTTTGCTTCTGATTAAATCAGAGGCGGGTGAAGCTTGGCACGTACTGTGTCCTCTCCACCTGGAAAAGAGCACTTAGCCCCAAGAGCCCTGCTCGGTGAGAGACCTCAGGCTGTGGTTCTGCCTCTGCTCCTCGCGGTCCCTGCCCGTCCAGGCAAAGTCTAAATGTGGAAGCAATGCGCTCGGAGCTGCAGTAGGACGAGTGCTGGCAGGCAGGAGTGGGTGGCTTTCTGGGGTTTGCTTGTTTGAACTTGTTATCAGTCCCTGAAAAGCGATCAGTGCTGCGCTCATTTTCAACAGATTCTTCAGATGATCCCAGTTTACAGCGATCAGTCTCTGTTGCAACTGGACTGAACATGATGAAGAAGCAGAAAGTAAAAACCATTTTCCCACACACTGCTGGCGCAAACCAGACTTTGCTCAGCTTCGCGCAGGGAGACATCCTCACACTGCTCGTCCCTGAGGAGAAGGACGGCTGGCTTTATGGAGAGCATGACACCACCAAAGTGTAAGTCTCAGGGCAGATGCTGTCCACACAGCAGTCAGGGCCGCCCAGTACTTCAGAGAGCTGCCATATCTCCTTTTAGTGGCAAATTGTCTTTGTGGTCACAGTAGCGTTTTTAAGTTAAGTTCATAGTTTAGTTATGGTTCTAGTTTAGTTCATTGGAGTTACTCTGTCTCGGTATTTTCTGTATGTCTGTGCATATATAGATGAATTTGGTACTTGAACAGGTCATAATGAAGTCACCTCTGAAAGTAGTTTTAAATAACTCTTGTGTTTTTTTTTTTTTCTTAAAAAAAAAAAAACTGGATTTCTCAAGGATAATCTGCACATCAGATAGATTTTCTTAAGATTTAGCGCATAAATAGTTTAAATGCTAGCATCGTCGTTTCAACCATGAGTATGTGCACAGGCCTTACTGTGAGCTGGTTAAATTGGTTTTCTGTGTAGATTATTCAGCTATTAAATAAATGTGGAAAAAAGCCAAAAAGGTAATCCAAATAAAACAAATGCTGTATATAAAATACACATTGTGTGATGTGGTGAAAATGGACCGGTCTGCCCCTGGGCTGTCCCTGAGCCATTCCGTAGTATGCTTACCGTTCACTTGTCTGCTGCTGACCCCACAACCCGGCCTTTTTTCTCCTTCCTCACCTGTAGGAGGGGCTGGTTCCCAGCATCCTACACAAAGTTGCTGGAAGAAGATGAAAAGGAGGCCATGAGTGTGCCCACACCAAGGTAGGACCTGACTGTGGCTCCCATTTCCCAGTGACGAAAACTCACCTTTGACCTCATGTTTTTAGGCATACCAGAATTCTGTCTAGATGTGTAGCAACCCCGTAGGGAAACCTCCATTCGTGTAGGAGAGTACAAAAGGGGGACTGTTACCCACAGCTGTTCCCTTAGTCGTTTCTGCTGTGGGGACATGCCTCCAGACTCTGCTCCTCACACTCCTATCAGCCTTCTGGAACCACTGACTGCACCACCACCCCCCTCCAGGTCACTAAATCCAGGGTGACCCGTCATCACCATTACTGCTTAGGAAGTGCCAAAGTGCCTTATGCTGCTGACTAGCTCGTTTAATTCTCATAACAACCTTATGAGGTAGGTCCCCACTTTAAAATTGAGGACACTGAGGCACAGGAAGGTGGAGCCAAGGCTGGAACCCAGGAAGGTCTTTTCCACGCCTAGCTATGAATATTTATATGTGTATCAGCAGCTGTAGTTGGTTACCCCATGAGTCCTTAGAAGTGACACATCCAGGGGCGCCTGGGTGGCTCAGTCGGTTAAGCATCTGACTCTTGATTTCGGCTCAGGTCGTGATCTCAGGGTCATGAGATCAAGCCCTGAGTTGGGCTCCACGCAGGCCATGGAGTCTGCTTAGGATTCTCTCTCTCTCCTTCTCTCTCTCTCTCTCCCTCCCTACCTCTCTAAAAAAAAGGAAAGAAGGAAATGACATATCCAAACTGCACTCCTCATCTTTACCCTAAACTGCCTCATTCTCAGTGTTTCTCATCTCAAAGAAACCCTCTAATCCATCCAGCTGTCCCTGCAGACCTTTGAGCACCATACTCGATGCCCCCCCCCCCCCCCAAGTCCTGCTCCGTGTCATCTGTGTGTCCTCATCCCTGGCAGAACAGCTCAACTGCCAAGCGGCCAAGGAATAAAACTAGATATTGTGTTTATGATGTTAAATGCTGAGGATTTATTTGTTTTGTTTTTCAAATCTGAAGTGCTCAACACTTTGCTAAGGCTTTTGCTATAGTCTTCATTTTCTTATTGATCTCCTTAAATTAATCAAGAGCCAGCTCTTAATTAAGCCGGTTTTTTTGAGTGTACATTTACAAACCAGTAAAAACATTACAGTATTTTTTATATAGATGTATATTGTGTGTGTACACACGCACGTCTCATCTCCTCTCTCACACCCTATGTGATTGTTCACCTATTGCAGTTCTGGCCCTAGGATATTTAGGATGTTTGGGATTCAGATGGCAGGATCTTACATAACTTGTATTCTCTGCTTATTGGTAGCCTGGCCCCAGTGAGAAGCATCAGCACGGTGAACTTATCTGAGAAAAGCAATGTCGTCATTCCCCCACCGGATTACTTGGAATGTTTGTCCCAGGGAGCGGCTGCAGATAAGAAAGCAGATGTTTCCAAAAATACTTCTACCTTTAAAGCACCGGTGTCCCAGCCAGAAGCCACATCTCCTGTGAGTGGAACTGCAGTACAACGTGCTGTGTACCCCCACCCTGAATGGCGGTCTGGGGGTGTGGGCGCTTGTTCCACCAGGAATGAAGGTGGTGTCCCCCCGGGCGGGGCAGGCACACGCTCCTGAATCTTCTGCATTCCCACCCTCTCACAGCCACGCAGCTTCCATAACTTCAGTCCTTCTGTTTGTATTTTATCTGTAAATAGTTCGTCAGATGGTATCAGGTGTTCTCTCCTCGCCTTCGGCCCCGGCTGCAGTCAGTCAGTCTCATCACTTGTTCTGCGTTTTCTTCAATTTTCATACCGTTTCCTGAGGGAAGGCTTCAGGTTAAAAGTAACTTTACCTTTGTGTCTTCAGAAAGTGCTTACTTTGCACCAGGTGCTGGGTAAACATGGTGTCATGTACACTGTCTGTAATCCTAAACAACCCCATAAGATCGTAGAGGCCACGGGCTCCCAGAGTCCCTTCATTGCTGTGGCACCTGTGTCTCCCGAGCGCCGGTTCCCGGTGCGGGCTCTCAGGGTGCAGAGATGAACAGGACCAGTTAGTGGCTCTGCTGGAACTTACGTTCTAGTGGGGGGAAGCAGACAATGAGAAATAAACAGTAAACACAGTGATGGAAGCTGTGCAGAGAATTAAAGCAAGGTGAGGTGATAGAGGGATGGGGCGACCGCTCACATGGATGCCACAGGTTTGTGTGCAGGTGCTTACGAGGGAGCGCCCTGGGGTCCCCACCTGTGAAAGTGAGAGCAGGGGAGCAGCATTCGGCAGGGGGAGGAGCTGGACTGGGAGGGGAGCCAGGCCTTGATCACCGGCATCCAGGGCAAGAGAGCTTGAGCCAGGGCGATTTCCCAAAGGGACAGCCCAGGGCAGCAGTCCCTGAGTTTTCTTGTTGATCTGGGCAGCACGTGACAGTGTCTGCACCCCCAAGGAGGGGACATTGAAACTGAGACCTGAATGGCAAGGAGCCTATCATGTAGGGGTCGAGGAGAGGAGAAGGAGCAGAGGAGGGCACATATTTGGCATGCTCCGAGAACGAGGCTGTGATTCCAGGATGATGGAGAATCGAGAAAGGAGGGATCCGTGTTCTCATTTTTTTCTCAGGATAGATTTTACCGTTAAAGAAGGGGAAGGATGGAGAAGAGGACGGTGACCGGGAAGGCGAGAGGAGCATACGTGGCGTGTGGGCCTGGGAGCAGGGAAGTTAGTGAGCAAGAAGCCTCGGGCGCGGGCAGAGGTGCGCACAGACTGGGGAGTTCCTGCTTGAGGATGGCTGCTCTCCGTGGGGAAGCAAGGGCGTCAGCGGAGGGGGTGGGCAGAGCGAGCAAGTGTAAAGAAAGAATTTGTGAAACGGGTTCTGAAGAGTGAGAAGGCGCAAGTGCTATAGAATACGGGGTATATGGGGGATAATGCCGATGCCCATTTACGGTTTGGGGTCATGATTTTAAAGGAAGCCAGGCAGTATGGTTGTTTCTCCAGCAACTGCAGCTGCTCCAGCTCAGACAAGAAGTAATGAACTAGTTGGGGTTACCAGGTGGTGGTGCTGGGGGAGGAGCAGGGAGTTCCTGGTGTTTGTGAGGGTAGGGCTGTGGTGCCCCAGACCTTGGCATTCAGGCTGGGCCATGAACGGATCTGGAGGGTGGGAAAGGAGGCGCGGGGGAGGTGGGGCAGAACCTCTGCGAGGCTGCACGGCTGCTAGAGTGCAGTGGGAAGGAACCTGGGAGGTGAGGGTCGGAGCGTGGGCTGGACTTCTGGGGGCCGTGCGGCTGAGCTTCATGCCCAGGGCTGCACAGTGGCCAGGCGGTGCCGGAGCCTGCCTAGCCTGTGCTCTGGCCAGCTTCCTCCCAGAAATGCCCCCGGGCACTGCTGGTGGTCCACAGGCTACTTTGTTTTTTATTTTCTGGTTATTGTATGGTCCTTTCTGTAGCTCATGCAGAGGCGTCTCCCTGCTGCTCATGGGATATGTGGCTCCACAGCTCTGCCCCCATCGTCGGTACTACTGGTGGCCTTTGTTCAGCTGTGAATGGTGCATGGGTGCAGTCTCTGGATTACATGGAATGGGAACTCTTAAAAATGTGCCCTGCGTTTCATTGGAGCCTTCAGGTGTTTTAGAATATGCCTGCCTCATCATAAGCTGCAGTGTGTTCCGATCCGGGAAATGCAGGGTTTTGCAGTCTCTCTCAAAAATGTCTTTGGCTCGGGGCACCTGGGTGGCTCAGTAAGTTAAGTGTCTGCCTTCAGCTGAGGTCGTGATCCTGGGGTGCTGGCATCTAGCCCCGTGTCAGGCTCTGCACTCTGCAGGGAGACTGCTTTTCCCTCTTCCTCTCCCTCTGTGATCTCTCTTGCTCTCTCTCAAATAAATAAATAAAATCTTTAAAAAAAAAAAAAAAGTCTTTGGCTTCTCAGATAAGCACACTGTACAATACATTGTTTGTACCTTTATTATTCCAAGTTACCCCAAAACCTAACAAAAACTATTTTCAAAAGAATGACACACAGCTGTTGAAAATGGAGCTTTTCCATTCTTTCATCATGGAAGAGAAATTGCTTTGAAGGACAAAGGTATCAAGTGCTGTTTTATTAAATACCCTAGTACATGTTTTTTTTTTTTAAAGATTTTATCTATTTATTTGACAGAGAGAGAGATAGCGAGAGCAGGAACACAAGCAGGGGGAGTGAGAGAGGGAGAACCAGGCTTCCTGCTGAGCAGGGAGCCCGATGGCGGGACTCGATCCCAGGACCCTGGGATCATGACCTGAGCCGAAGGCAGACGTTTAACGACTGAGCCACCCAGGCGCCCCTACCCTAGTACATTTTAAAACAATATTCAGACTCTTTGAAAATTATCTTAAGACATTTTGAAAAGCATAAAAATTCCTTTTGCTGGGGCAGGAAAAACAAATGCTTACACCTGGATGTCACACAGCTCCGGACCCAGGAGTACGAGGTACACCGTTCTGGTGTGACCTGTCTGTAGTGCCCTCTGCTGTTTTTGTGTGATTTCCAGCTTTTTCTTAGGGGAAAATACAAACATAATAAAAGGGGAGAGAAGAATGTCTCTCACCCCCAGCTTTGACAATTGTCAATTCATTTACCAGTCTTTTTTTTTTTTTTTTTTTAAGACTTATTTATTTGAGAGAGCATGCACACGTGTGTGCATGTGATCGGGGAGGGGCAGAGGGAGAAGGGAGAGAACCCCGGGCAGACTCCCAAGTTGAGCGTGGAGCTTGAGGTGGGGCTCGATCCCACAGCCCATGAGATCATGAGCGGAAACCAAGAGTTGGATGCTTAACCAACTGTGCCACCCAGGCACCCCCCCCAATCTTCTTTCATCTTGCCCCTGGCCACTCCCAGATCAATTTGATGCTAATTCCAGACTTCATCATCTCATGTATAAATACCTTAAATATAATAATACCTTTTATTTTTACACAACCAAAATACCAATTACCGTATCTTTAAAAATTGACAGTAATTCCTCAATATATCATCAACCAGTCACTTCAAATTTCTGATTGTCTTATTAAAAATGGAACAGTATAGTTTGAATCTGGATCCAGGCCTGCTCCACACATTGTAATTGGTCACTGAGTCTCATGACGAGTGTTTTTGTATCTAAGGTCTCCCCATCTCTTTTTCCTTGTAACTTACCTGGAAGGAACCAGGTTATTGGCCCTGGAGGGTGGCCCCAGGCTGGATTTCGCTGAATGCATCCACATGGTGTCCTTCACTGCATTCCCCTTTCTCCTATATTCTCAACCTGGATCAGAGTCGGTATTACTGTTTTGTTTCTTTGCCTGTTTTGTTAAAGCATTTCATCGGTGGTGGTGTCTAGTCCATCCAGAGGGACACCTGTCTGGTCATCTCTTCTTTTGTGATATTAGCAGCTTTAATAATAACCACCTCCATTACTTTAAGGCTGTGTGACGTCTTCTAAGATAAAAGAATCTTGCCCCAAAATCATAGTTAACATTGAAATTATAAGTGAAAACACTGACATTTTAGGGTGCCTGGGTGGCTCAGTCTGTTAAAGGTCTGCCTTCAGCTCAGGTCCTGATCCCAGGGTCCTGGGATCGAGTCCAGCATCGGGCTCCTTGTTCATCGGGGAGCCTGCTTCTCGCTCTCCTTCTGCCTCCCACTCTCCCTGCTTGTGTGCTCGCTTGCTCGCTCGCTCTCTTCTGTCAAATAAATAAATAAATAAAATCTTTAAAAAACACAAATTTTAGCCAACACGGTCTCATTTTAGAGAACATTTTAATTTTCAATATTTTACCATGTTGGTAAAGCTTTATGATGAAAGCATTGATGCAGTTCTTACTATACTGCATTGGAGGCTCTGAAAAATCCTATTTATCAGTATGGTCAAAAATGATATTATTTAGCATTTGGCAGTTTAAATGAGATCTAACTTTATTTTTAAAGCACTTTGGCTGGATCATAATAGACTGGCAATGTAAGGAGGCTGCCCTGAAAAGTGCTGAGACTGTCTAGTAAACTGAAGGTTTGGGGCAGAGCAGCAGCTTTAGGCATGTAACTTTCTCCTGAGGGCCGGGATGGGGCTGCTGCTGGATGTGGTCCCCTGCTCTGTGGCCACCTCGTGGAAGCCACTGCCCTTCCCACCTTGACCGTGGGTGCAGGAGTCCTTGGCTCACATCCTGTGTGCGCCCAGTCCGTCCTGTCCCAGGGCTGCCTCCAGGCCGAACTCCACACCCCAAGCCCTCTCCCTCTCCCTCCCACAGACCATCTTCACTGACACTAACCTGTAGTCTCCTGACAAAGCCCCAGACCTCATGGCTTCACTGGTGAATTCTAACATACATACAAAGAAGAGCTAATACCATCCTTCTCAAACTTTTGCCCAAAAATTGAAGAGGAGGGAACACTTCCAAACTCATTCTGAGGCCAGCATCGCCCTGATACTCTGGTCAGGCCCCCTATTTCTGTCTTGCAGGCCAGACAACTTTTTTTAGTTTTTCATTTTAGCAGCCTTGAATGTTTGG